CAGACAGTCTGCCCAGGATTCATTTGACTGACTGATGGATAAGGAAGCACTCACCACATCGCCCAGAGTTAGCGACACCGCTGAGAAATGTGTGTGTGTGTGTGTGTGTGTGTGTGTGTGTGTGTGTGTGTGTGTGTGTGTGTGTGGCATGCAGAGGGTTTCTAATGTGTATTGATTGACTACTAACGGAGGGATACACCTCTACAGTAGTTCCCCGAACATAAAGCACCTTCATGATGAATGAATACAAGCTATGTTTCCGCTCAAGTGCAGTCAAGGGAAGCGTGCGTGGTGTTCGTGGGAAGACGGTCGTGGCAGCTGGATAAGCTCAGTATCTGCTGACTGATTGTTTCGCGTCCCCCCTCTTTGCTCTAGGCTTTCGCAATCGTCTATGTGGAAAGCTTCATTCATATATTGCCAAAAATGGAACGAGGCCGGGGACCTCACAGTTCGACCCGGAGTTGTCCTGGCAGCCTCAGCCAGTTCAGCTTACCAGCCCAGCTCAACCAAAAACTATTCAAGGACTAACAATCCCACTGCTGGAAACCGGGTCCAGCGTCCCATCCTGAAGCTATCAGCTTTCCAAAATTAACCTTGAAGCACAATTAAAGGGGCTGCAACAGCAGCCAGATTGCTTTATAAAAATACCTTGAAGACCAAAAGCAAGTTAGCACCAAAAATTCAGGAGTCTTGTTGAATTTCGTCTCATGTGGGCCGCCATAAGAGGCCTCTTTCTGCAGTTTCGACTTGGAGGTTCCAGCCTATTATCGATAGATGGGAGGCCAAAGCGACCACGCGGCGGGTTTCTTTTCTTTTTGCTGGCACCGCCTGCCTTTGTGGTCCAGTAGCACCCAACCTCCGGGGGCCTCCGAAGAATGCTGTATAGGTTTCTTTTACAACTTAGCCTCCCAGCCTGGAAAGAAAAAGGGTCAACCACTTCAGCCAGCCAATGCTGTGTGACGGCACTGTTGCCGCACGCAATTGCTCCCGTGTCCACAACATCTGCCCACACGCCCCAGGCTGCGCCACCACGCAGGGCGTGGTCTAACAGTAAGGGTCTAGCCACTCCACTGTCGACAACGCGATTTTCGGTAGTTTCTCTTGGCCGCAAAGGGTATGGGAGAAATTGGAGTCGGAAAAAAAAACAAAGAAAAGTAAAAAATAAAATAAAATGAGATTAGGGAATAAAATTAGCGCATCGTCAAAGAATGGGGGGGGGGGAAAAAAATAAAAATAAAAAATAAAATAAAATAGAGTAGGGAATGAAATTAGCACGTCCTCAGACAATGGGGCTCCCCACAAAGCCAAGCGACCGGCACCCCCAGGCCTTTAGAATGAAGGCCTTTTCGGAAAGGAGTGATACTTTTTTTCGAAAGGCTGCTTGTGGAAGGGAACGCCCCCCTTCGCCACACAGACATTCGAAAAACCGAGGCCTTTCTATATGCACATTACGGGCTGGCTCTACTTCTCTGGACTCGCCTAAAACGAGAGAGTGAATGTTTGCCTAGAACATGGAAAGATACACCGCCATAATTTTTGTCATTTGTGCATGTCCAGAGTAGCCTAAGTGGAACCAGGCCCTTGGAATCGTCCCCCCCCTCCCCCCATTTTTTTTATTTTTTTTTTAATATTATTTTCTTTTTTTGCCAATCAAACGTTTGGAGTGGGCCTTTTCACAAGACCACTCTAGTCTCTAGGTCTTTGGAGGAAACGCTCGTGACAGGCCGGAGGATCTCATCTCATCTCTTAGAATTTTAAATGACTTTCATCGCTGGCCAAACTGACATCTTTGGAAACTTTTTCGAAAGAACTTGTTTCTAAAGACTGTGTGGCGAAGACACGGCGTAGATTTTGCCCGTTTCGAAAGCCTGTGTGGCAAGCCCCAATGCTTCTCCACACCTCACCTCCTGTCCATAGTTGTTGAATCCCCACACAGCCTCCTGCTACTCGGATGCTTTTTACAGTCCTTCGCTGCAACATCATCGAATTCTCTTCGGAATTTGGTGAGTGGGCGTGAGGTCGGGATGGACTAATGTTTGTGGTACGTCCTTTTCCGTCTTGCATGCACAAGTGGTCTACAGTGCTGTGCGGCTAAAGGGGGGCAAACTGTCAAAGGGAGGCTGTCAAATTTATTCTGAGAGCCGTCAAAGGGCAGTGGTGTGGCGAGGCCCTAAGAGGCTTGCCACACAGGCTGTCGAATGTCGAAAAGTTTCGACACGTGTCAGAAATTTTTTGACAGTTGGGCGGTCTACGATTCCCCCCCCTTCGCCACACAGGCTGTATAGGGGCAAGGTTTTTGGTCATGGCCAGGCGGACGGGTTTCGCGGTAGTTGACGGAACAGTCCCTGAAAACGCAAATTCGAATGCAATTTTCGGCGGGCCACTGTCGAATTTCCATCACCTGCAGGCTGGTGGAAGCGATTGCCGGAGGTCGGCTGTCGAAAGGACCATTCTGACACCTGTCGAAAGTTTTTTGAGCCGCAATTCTTCGAAAGTCTGTGTGGCGATGCAAAATTGTCGAAAACTTGGTTTTTGACAGCCTGTGTGGCGAGCCTCTAAATCATCCCTCGGAGACACATCTCCAGATGCTTTCAAAACGCAGCCGGATGACGGCAGTCGGGGACAGGGATAATTGGCCCCAAATCATTCTCACAGACACATCTCTAGATGCTCTCAAAAGCAGCTGGATGGCGACAGTCGGGGATAGGATAATTGGTGGAGAACACCCACGCCAAACCTTTTCGGTTTTGGGCCCCCGATGTTCTGCCGATGGGTAGGGTACTACCGGCCCAAGCTTCCTCCAAGGACCCTACCGGATCATGAAACTGGTGCATAAATAATGGCCCTACCGGTTCATGTAGAGTATTTTTTGCAACGAGGCCCAAGTACGGTATTTTTTGCAAAATAATGGCCCTTCCAGTTCATGAATCTGGCACGAAAACAGTGCCAGATTCATTGTCCGGTAAAAACAGGCCAACGGAGCTGTGGCCACTGCAGGGAGGTGCCTTGCACCCAGGCGGAAGAAGTTTGGGTCCGTAGTACCAAAATGCAGAGCTTTGGGTGCCCTTACAGAAAAGGTTTTGGCGTGGGCGCTATAGGCTTCGAATTGTGAGGTCGAATTCCGGAGCTGGCAGTGGACTGTTATATCTGCTAATTCTGAACTGTGCAGCAGTCACAGGCGCAGTTGTCTCAAAAGCTATGTTGCACGCTGGCCGCGGCCGGGTTCGGCCCAGGCCGCGGCCGCCGGCCTAGGCCGGGACCCCCCCGGCCACGGCCGTTCCGGCCGAGAACTTTCGGCCGCGGCGGTGGCCGATCGGGGAGGGGGTTTTGGGAGAGGGGAGTGGGTTTCGAGTCGGGGGGGGCTCCCCTACCCCCTCGCAAAAAAAAAAACATAAAAATTTATAAAAGGGCGGGGGCGGAATCTGGGGATTTTTTGAGGGGGGG